AAAAAAAAAAAAAAAAAAAAGATTAGCTGGGCATGGCAGCGCATGCCTGTAGTCCCAGCTACTCAGGAGGCTGAGGTGAAAGGATCACCTGAGCCCAGGAAGTCGAGGCTGTAGTGAGCTGTGACATGCCACTGCACTCCAGCCTGGGCGACAGGTGACACTCCGACTCAAACACACAAACAAGCAAACAATCCCACAGAACAACAACAACAACAAAACCCAATTCAGAACATGGACACACCACAAGCCAGAGTGTTTCTCTTTTTACCTTGGCTGCTGGGGTACTCTGGATTTGGTGCTGGTATCCCCTAAAGTGATCTCACCCAGACATGGAGCTACACTGTATTCATGGATTTATTTCTTCATACCACATATAAAAGATTCCTAACCTCTGTTTAGCACTGCAAAATGGATTCAATATACTCTCTAGGAGGAGATATACTAAAATGGTAACTGTGCGTTATTTATTTATACGTATCGATCTGTTACTATTTTTATGTTGTAACAGGAATTCAAATGTTTTATTTTCAAAATGTATTGCTTCAGATATAGCTTCACAAGAGTTTGGTGAGATGAGCTTTATTATTTTATAGATAATAATACCACAACTCAGAAAAATTAAATGTCTTTGGCGGAAAAACTGGGATGGGAAAAAGTCTCACTTCCAAATCACAAGACTGATTACATGGAGCATTCTTTTGTTCTATGAGAATATATAGTCATCCCCATATCCATGGGGAATATGTTTCAAGACTCCTGGAGGATGCCTGAAACTGCAGGTAGTACCAACCCCTATATACACTATGTTTTTTTCCTATACAGCAGGCCCCCCCATACAAACCTTCAAGTTGCAAACTTTCAAAGATGTGAATGTGTGTTTGCATGTCCAATCACGTAAGTAAATTCACATGTCTCACGTACATTGTTATGTGAGTGCATCGTCTATAAGTGTTTGTGCTTTTGTGTACTTTACTGTGCAGGACTGTATAGAGTACAGCAGTACAGTATCTTTATTTCAAGCTCAGGATGTCCAGAAGCGACCATAAAAGCAGCAGTGATGTAGCTGGTACTGTATAGTTGATTGTGTTAGTTGGGTACTAGTAGGCTAACTTTTTTTAGACTTACCAAAAAAATTGGATTTATGAATGCTGTCTCAGAATGGAATTCATTCGTATATAAGGGACTTTCTATGTGTGTGCACGTGTGTGTATGCACCTAGAATAAAGTTTAATCTATAAACTAAGCACGATAAGAGATAAATGACAATAAATGATAATAAATAGAACAATTATAACAACATGCCAGCATTGCTACTCTTGTACCTTGGGGTCATTATTAAGTAAATAAAGTTGACTTGAACACAAGCACTGTGGTACTGTTGATGTGATAGCTGAGGTGGTTACTAAGAGACCAATAGGTAGGTAGTGGACACAGCATGGATACAGGGAAGGCACAATGCTCCCTTTCCTCATGCCCACCACATATGTGGTTTACTCCCTGATGGATGTCTGTTATCTTTACCAGGCTGCATGCAGCACAGGGACAGGGATGTCTTGGTCATCTGAGTCTCCCCACAACCTTAGCCTGGTGCCCAGCAGGTAGTGGGCACTCAGAGCACACTTCCCAAAGTGACGCAATGGGTCTGCTGGTCCCATGGCCTGGGCCAACCACCTTCTTTTCCCATTGTCCCTGGGAAAAGCCAGATCCAAGCCTGGGGGTGTCAGACAGGGCTCCCTGTTGGGAACCCCTGAGTGACAAACACACCAAACTAAGGCTTCAGGTGGGTGGGAGGCAGAGCTATGGGGTAGTGAGTCTGGGCAAGTCTGTAGTCCCAACAGCAATCTGACTCTTCCCTTGCAGGGGCAGAGGTCAAGGCCGTGTGCCCCTCAGGTCAGCATTCTGAGGGCCTCCCAAGGGTGACTCCTTTATGTCTTCACCCAGTGCAGAGGAAACAGGCATCCACTGTTCACATTTTGAGACCCATGTCATCTACACTCTGAAGATGCACAGGAAGGATGCCTTCTCTGTTTCTGCTAACTAGAATGCCTGAGATGGTGCAAAGTTTGTTAACTCCATGCAACAAGCTCTCACAAAACACCACCTGTGTACAGAGTTCAGCTCTGTTCTCTCCTGGGGCTGAGTTATAGGTTAGGCACTTTATGTGTGTTAGCTCATATGGGCCTCACAATGGCATTTTGTGAATCTGTAAAATGAGCCTCAAAGGAGTTGAATGTCCCCTCCAAGGCCTCATGGCCAAGAACGATAGAGGAAGGACTGAATTCTAGATCTACCTGGGCCCAAGGCCCTTTCCATGAATCTCCACTGACAAGGTACAATCTGTCCCCAAAGAGCTTCTCACTCAGCAGGGACAGGCTCTGTGTAGATAACTGAACCCAGAGAGTCATGCTGGATGCCACTGCAGAAACGCAAGATCAAGTAACATGGAGTTACTGGTGGATAAGGAGAGACAGCCTGTTATCGGGATCTGGAAAGGGCTCCTGGAGGGAGAGGAACTTTGGAACTTAGTCAGGGGGTAAAATGTTGGCAAGTGACAGTGTGGAGAGCGCTCTCCTGGCAATAGGCACTGCATAAACAAATGTGTGGAGGCTGGGAAACCTGAGACGTGATGGAGGATTGGACTACGCAGGTAAAGCAGTGCAGGTGACACAGTCCAGGCTCCAAGGCCAAGGTGGTGCATCTGGCTGTGCTTAATTCAGGTGAAACGCATGAGCCTGCAAAGACCAAGCACAAAAGCAAGCTGAGCATGGCTCTTCATGAAAACAGCTTTCTTCATCATCACCATCATAATTATCACCATCACCATTGTCGCCATCATCACTATCATCACCGTCACCACCACTATCACCATCACCATCATCACTATCACCATTATCATCACCACTATCACCATCATCACTATCATCAATATCATCACTCCCACCACCTGAGGAGTGAGGTAGCTGCTCACAGAGCAAGAGTTACTTAAGCTGGATACCAGGGTGGGAGCAGATGTTAAATTCCTTCTTCTAGTAGGCTCGGTGGCTCAGCCTGTAATCCCAGCACTTTGGGAGGCTGAGGCGAGTAGATTGCCTGAGCCCGTGGGTTCGAGACCAGCCGGGGCAACTTGGCAAGACCTCGTGTCTACAATAAAATAAAAAATAACCAGGCGTGGTAGCACGCATCTATAGTTCTGGCTACTTGGAAGACTGAGGCGGAAGGATCGCCGGAGCCCAGGAGGTCGAGGCTGCGGTGGCTGGGAGTGTGTGTGCCACTCAAAAAAAAAAAATCCTTCTTTTCAAAACTAGGCAGGTTCTGACAGTGTCAACAGCTTGAAGCCTTCAATGTGCTGTCAGATGGAGAAGCCTGGGTTCGGACTGTGGGGCTGTCAGTGGATGCTTTGCAGAGAGGCTGGCCTGTGCCCCAGCTCTGGTTCTCCTACTGCCTTGCTGTGTGATCCGGGGCAGACAACTGAACCTCTCTGTATTCTGGTGTCTATTGTGAAAAAACGGGCATGACAACACTTACTGTGTAGCTTTGAGGATTATATAAGAAAATGTATGAAAAAGGGTCTACTTTGTTACTAGGCACAGAATGGAGGCCCCATCACTGTTAAAGCTTCATCTCCACACATCCAGAAGAGTGAAGAAGATAAAGCCAACCCAACCCAACCCTAACTATGTTAGACAATAGTAAGTTGTGGAACTACAATTCCACACATTGGCCAAACATGTGGCATCAAAAGACATACCCCTGCGAGGCTTAACCATTCTCTTTTCACATGTTTCCAGAATGAAAGCCATCTACTATGGGTTCTGATCCACTTAGACTGCTTTATTAAAAGTCACCCCATGCCAGGCTTGACACTCTGTGGTGAAGATGATGGTTAAAAGCATAGATAGAAGTCTGGCTAGGGGGAGGCCAGGTTCTGGTAAAGAAGACAGAAAAACAACAACAAACCCATGGATGAATACATAAAGCTGAAAAGCTGTTGCAAAGGAAAACAAGGGGCTAGTAAGGGGTTTGAGACCTCTTTCTTAGCTAGAGTAGACATTGATGGCATCTCTGAGATGACATGAGTTGGTACCTAAAGGATAAGAAGATGGCACACATGTAAAGAGTGAGGGAAAAGCATTCCAGAATTCCAGTCAGGGGAACAGCATGTGTAAAGGCCCTGAGGTGGGGGAAAGGTTGTTCAATAAACTGAATGCCTTCCTCCCTACAAAACAACCACTCACAGCCAGTGTGACTGAAGAGTAGTGTCCACATGAGGATAAGACGGGGCCCGGTCTTTATAGAGCATGAAGCTACAGTAAGGATTTAACTCTAAATGCCCTGGAAAGTCATCGGCAGGTTTTAAGTACAGACATGGAAAACCCCATTTTATGTTTTTAGAATGGCTTGGACTAGAACAAGAGTAAAAACAGAGACCAGCAAGGAAGTCATTGCACTAGGCAGACTGGGAGATGGGTGTGGCCTGGTCCAGGGGAATGGGATCGACAAGAGAGAGGAGGGGCTGGGTGTCTGGAGTGAGACGAGGGAGAGAGTGAAGGATGTTTCTTGGTGTCTGGCCAAGCAACCAGGTGGATGGAGGTATGAGGGACCCGGGGGACTGAGAGAGGAGAACCAGGCATTCTGGGGCTGGCAATTTACATGGAAGCACGGAGTGGGTGCCTGCATAGAAGCAGGTATGGAGCAGGAAGGACGATCTGCGCTGGTGTTGTCCCATGGGTAGGGTCACTTACAGAGAGATTAGAGACAGAAGGGGAGAGAAGGCGGCCAGGGTGAAACCACGGATTATAGAAGAAGATGGAAGAGAAGGAACCAGCAGAGAGGGCTGAGAGGAGGGAAAAACAGCAGGAGTGGGTGATGTTCTGGAAGGAATGAGCAGAGCGTGCAGGGGGAGAGAGGTATATCTGCCCATACGTGTGGCATAAAACTGAAGTCCAACGCCAAATTTGCAGACAGAGAAGAACCTTCAGCAGGAGAGCTTGGCTGCTAGAGAGGTCCCTTCTAAAATGCATGTAAGGCAGGTTGTCAAGCACGTATTCCCTCAGATGGATGACAAACTATGGTTCCCTTCTGAGAAGTCGTTCAAAGGCCTCTTTCCTTTTAACACAGCCAACTCTTTTCTTTCCTAGGGTTGAAGCGCGATGTCAGAGCCTTGTGGAGAGAGGAGGTGTGTGCTCTCTCTCACCAGGGCTGAACCTAGGCTCAGGAGGCAGCAGTTAATGCTCATTTATTAACTGTGTGGCGGGAAAAGTCTTTCAACTCAATGAGCCTCACCTTACCCACCTGTAACATGAAGCTGACGTTTCCTACCTCATACAACTATTGTGAAGATTCAGTAGAGTATGGGAAAGGATTTTCTAAAGTTTTGGCACGTAGTAGGGGCTCAGTAAATGGCAGTTAATGGTGGTGATGTGCATGATGCCATTATTGGGATGGCCACTTTCTCAGCTCCCATCCCAAATCCCTCTCTCTCCCTCCCCGCCTCATCACTAACCCAGCAACAGTCTCCTCCAGTTGGCTCCTATTTTTAATTCCTGGTGCTCCCACCCACTGCTCCTGGCCCATCCCCTCTTACTTGGACTATCTGAAAAGTCTTCTGACTTGTCTTTGCTTCCAGTTATTTCCCACTTCTGTCTCTTTGGTGTACCTGGGCTACCCGAGTGGTTTTTCAAACCACTGTTCTGCTTAAAATTCTCAAAGGCACCCTCACACGCCACTCTTTAGTATGGTGTAAGAGGCCTTCTTTTTAATTTCCTTTTTCTCTTTATTTCATTTTATTAAATTTTTATTTTAAAGATGTGGGGTACAATTCAAGGTTAGGTAGCTCAGCCAATGCTAAGACCAGAAAAGTGCAACATGGCCTCATGCAGAAATTTTAGAAATTTTGTGAACTAGATTGAGTAAAAGCATACACATTTAAAAATTAACAATATTAGGATTAGGGTTAGTGATTTTAAAAAGTAAAATATTTTAAAATAAAAAACCAATAACTATGTAATACTTTTGAATCTTTAAAAAAAAAAGAGGCTCTTAAAGGAGCCCTCACTTACCCTTAAGTGACGGAGGAGAGAATGGTGTAAGAGGGATCAGCAGTCATGGGACACTGCTGGCGGGGAGGGAGGGGCACATAACATCACTAAGGGTACCTGATCCTAAACCAGGGGAAGTGAGGATCAGAGGATCAGTTGGAGGCCCAAGCTTCACCTGCACAAAGACAACTAATGTACCTAATCCTGACTTGTACCCTGCATCTTTACAATAAAATGAAGAAAAAAAAAAGAGGACCTTCATAACTTGGCTGCACTAGGCTCACTTATCACCACTGGCCACCTCCTCCTATGGGTCACCCAGTGTACCTACAGCCTGCCCAGAATACAGTAGGACTAATATCTGCCAGCCACACCCACAGGTACCCAGGCTAGGCATCAGCTGTGAATGGACATTAGTAGCCACAAGGAATTTTTTAGGATTCTCCCAATACGCCATACTCTTTGGCATCTCTGGCATTGCCCTCTCAGTCTACAATGTTCTCTGATTTCTTTCATGCTTATCCTTTAAGACCTATTTTCTGGGAGACTGTTCCTGCCTATTTCCCACGCGGTCAGTCTCTCCATCGTGCGTACTCTGTGATCTTTTCTTTTTTTTGAGTTGAAATCTCACTCTGTTGTCCAGGCTAGAGTACAGTGGCACATTCACGACCACTGCAGTCTTGACCTGCTGGCTCAGGTGATCTTTCCACCTCAGCCATCCAAGTAGCTGGAACCACAGGCATGTGCCACCATGCCCGGCTAATTTTTATTTATTTACTTATTATAGAGACGAGGTCTTGCCATGTTGCCCAGGCTGGTCTCGAACCCCTGAGCTCAGGCAATCCTCTCGCCGCCACCTCCCAAAGTGCTGGAATTATAGGCCTGCACCACTGCGCCCAGCCTCACTCTGTGATCTTTTCTTCATGACCCTATAGGTTGTTCTCCCAGTAATCACTTCCTGATGGGTGTCTGTCCTCTCCACTACACTGTAAGCTCCTGACTGATACCTTAGGTAGGACCCTACAGCCTGCCCAGAACACAGTAGGACTAATGTCCGCCAGCCACGCCTGCAGGTACCCAGGCTAGGCATCAGCTGTGAATGGACATTAGCAGCATGTACCTGCTGGAAGCTCTCGCGCAGATGGCTCTGATCCTCAGGGTGGCAGAATTCCAAAATGTCCTTTCCCAGAAGATCCTAAATAAAAGGGACAAGCTTTAATAACCCCAAATTCCATTTGTCATTATTTATAGACTCACGGTATGACAACAGTTTCATTTCCATCACCTTTAACTCATCTCCATCAGTCAAAGATTTTTAAAAAAATCTGTCAGGCCACAGATTTTTAAAAAGTAGGTACAAATTGTCCCTGGGCACCATCAGGGAGCTCCCTTCCTGATATCCCCCCTAAAGTCCTTTGGCATGTTTGATATCAATTTCTAATTTTGCTAAGGCACTGCATCAGCAGTTTCAAAATGCAATTTTATTTTTGTTTGCCTTGGAGAGACAAACTATAATAAACATATTTTAATAACCATAAAAAGAAAGCGCAATGGTAGCATGAGGATAGATGTGTTGCCTATGAAAACTGGAATTGTTTAAATGTGGAAACTGTATCTCTCTTGTAGCTGAAGAAATGAGGTTAACATAGCTGTACTTGTTAAAAGTCTGTTTACTATCTGCCCTCATTAGTCTGTGTTTTATTCAAAGGACCTAGCGTTAACCCCAAACAAAAGTGTTTCACAATGAAACAGACCAGAATAAGATAAACTGTCAAGAGGCAGCTTCAAAAGTGTTATAGAAGAATGGTCCCGTTGGAAGTGTCTTAAACAACAAAGGTCTTTAACTCATTGATCAGAACCCAACTCAGCAGACGGCCAAAGTATGCTGACATTGGCAGTGAGAGGAAGTCCTACCTGTGTGTTCATGGAAGGTGCCAGAGGGAAATGGATTTGGCTGGAAATACACTGCCATCAGAGGCCATGGTGAATTTGGAAACAAATCAATTTTTCCCTTTATTCCATCCAAGAGTATCAAGATTTGCATGAGTATAGAGATGCAGAATTATATGAAGAGCCCTAATATTTCTGGTTTGAATGGTTTCTAGTTCTAAAATACATATATAACTAAAATACTCATGTGACTGTATCCCAAACTTTGTTCCTCAGAACAAAGATCTTGTTCTTTTTTTAAAAAAATGCTTTTTATTGTAAAAGATATTTAAATCTACAGAAAAGTTGAAAGGATAGTACCATCAATTCCTGTATACTCATGTATACTCAACAATTGTCAATAATTTGACACATTTACATTTTTTCTTTCTTCATATATATGTACACATATATACATATGCAGATATAAATACTTAACAATTTCTTGCTGAATCATTTGGAAGTTGTAAATATCATGATACTTCTTTCCAAAGTACTTTAGCATGTATCTCATAAAAATGACATTGTCTTACAAAATGACAATATACCATGCTACACTTAAGAAAGTCAATGACAGGCTGGCTCAGCCTGTAATCCCAGCACTTTGGGAGGCTGAGGCGAGTGGATTGCCTGAGCCCGTGGGTTTGAGACCCACCTGGGCAACTTGGCGAGACCTTATCTCTACAATAAATCAAAAATTAGTTGGGTGTGGTAGCGTGCGCCTGTAGTTCTGGCTACTTGGAAGGCTGAGGCAGGAGGATTGCTGGAGCCCAGCAGTGAAGGCTGCGGTGGCTGGGAGCATGCCACTGCACTCCAGTCTGGATGACAGAGTGAGACTCCAACTCAAAAAAAAAAAAAAAGAAAAGAAAAAGAAAATCAATGATTATGTGATAAATCACCCAGTACTCCATACATGTTAATATTAACATTTCAATTATCTCCTAAATGTCTTTTCTAGTGAAATGTCTTCAGGCCTAGGACACAATCAAGATTCTCATTTTGCATATTGTTTTATCTCTATCTTCATCTGGGATAACTGCTCCTGCCTTTTTGTGTTTCTCATGACACTAACTTGTTATTTTTTATTTTTGTTTTTTTTGAGCCAGAGTCTCACTCTGTTGCCCAGGCAGGAGTGCGAGTGACATGTTGATGGCTACCGCAGCCTCGACCTGCTGGGTTCAGGCATTCCTTCTGCCTCAGTCTTCCAAGTAGCTGGATCTACAGGGGCACGTCACCATACCCAGCTAATGTTTTGATTTATCGTAGAGACGAGGTCTCACCATGTTGCTCAGGCTGGTTTCGAACCCCTGGGCTCAGGCAATCCTCTCATCTCTGCCTCCCCAAGTGCTGGGATTGCAGGCATGAGCCACCACACCCAGGGACGCTAACTTTTTAAAAAAGAGTCTGGAACAAAGACCTGAAAATATGTCCATGTAAAAAAGTTTTCAAGTATATTTGAGAAACAGGGGATTAGGCAAAATTAGGTGGGCATCTTTAACAGAAGTTGTAGAGTCTTTCACATTAATAAGCTTTATAACTAATATGAATTAATCAGAGAGTTCCTTTTTAGTAGACCATCTTAACTAATTTGTTAAAACTCAGCAAGAGAAGCATAATGGCTAGGGCAAAGAATGAGGGGTCTATTTAAGTGGTGCAGGTGTTTACAGCATCCTTTCTTGCTCTGGAAGGATGACATTCCATGCAGGCAGAACACACGAATCTTCATGCTGTTTTCCCACACTGTCATTGTATTGTATCTCAAACAAATGAGATAAGAATGTTTTAAGAGAAGTTACATCTCCAACCAACTGCCCTGAGCTCAGTGCTACCCACTGACCTGGGGTTGGTAGCCAATCACACTGATGCATCTTGGATCCACAAATGTGATGATTCCATCAGAGTTATGCCGGGATAAGAACTCTGTGGGCACCGACATCCCATTCATGTCCATGCACACAGGAGAGCTGGTCACCTGGAATGGGGAAAAGCCACATTGCAAATGGTGTTGACAGAGATGGATGTGGCAACAGAGATAGGGAATGGGGATAATTCATGTGGATTTAATGTCACACATACTTCCGTGTCATTCTTACAATGAGTGTAAAGTGTTCAAAGAGCTCTGGTCACATCTTTAAACTAATATAACAGTTGGCTACTTTCTTTACATTTCTGAGTGTCTTATCAGTGAATAATGGAACTTATATTCTCATAGGGTGGTTGTGAGGTTCAAAAGACATACTGCATGTCAAATCTCGGCACAATGCCTGGCACTTAGTTGGTGCTCAATAAATGTTAAACCCTTCCCTTTTCTCACCTTCCCTTTATGAAGAATAGCAATGAGCCTAAGGAACTGGTTAAAATACTTGGAATGTATACATTCATGAACTGAATTTGCCCACATAGTTTTCATACATCTGCAAGGAATGCCCAGTGTTTGTCGTATGTGAATGAAATTGCTTATTCATTTGTGTGAAAATGGTCAGACCTAAGAAACAGGGGCCACAGATGATTAGTGTCCTTTGAAGCACGTCATATATTCCCTCATCAGCAATGGGAAGACCCTCAGCGTCCTAAGGAAAATGGACAGTCCAGTAATTGAGGGGTTACTATGTGTGCCAGACATGCAGCATATTTAATTTTTGCAAGATTCCCTGCTTTTATGGTGCTTGCAAAGAATGAGCGCACATTCAACAAACCACCTAAAACACTCAGTAAAGAATGATCACTGAGGGAAGAGCCCATGGTCTGAGAGTCAGGAGTAGGAAATGGTTGATTCTGACAGAGGAGATCAGGACATCATTTTGGCTGGGTCTTGAAGGATGAGTAGACAGGAAGTACACAGGAGGAGAGAGAATTCTGAAAGGAGAAGAAGGCAAGTAGGGAAACACCAGGCAGAAGAAACAGCCTGTGGAGAGTCTTCTGTTTGGTGCAAGGTGGGGAAGTGCATGATGGGTTCATGCAAAAGGGGATGGTGTGACTCGGGAATAAGATGTGGTGAGAGAGGAAGAAGGGAAGGAACTGAGGTTGGAGGGATGAGTTTGGACTGTACCCTGTAGGCTCTGGGGAAACATTCAAGGTGGTTAACAGGGATGTGATATGGGCAGTCTTGACTTTACGGTGACCAGCACGAGCATGGGGGATGGACTGATGTGACTCCTCAATGCAGCAAGAACTTTGCTGCTTGTAACTGAGCCTCCTCTTCCTCTAGATTCAGCCTCAGTCTCAACCCAAATAATGAGACATGAAACCCAGCAAATACTGAGACCACAGTTCAGACAGGCATCCGGACCTACACTCTCCTGCACTTTGCAGCAATGAGCCCTCATTTGAGATTAAAATGCTCCTTTTTTTGTTCTTACCTGGAGTCTCCCAATTGCCACGAGGCAATATTTACTGCCTTGTCCCACATCAGCATCTTCTTCAGGGATAGTCATTCCTGAAATGAGAGATGCCAGCATCCTCAATATGCTCAAGGTGAATGGCAAAGAAGAGCGTCCACAGTTTGATTTACGCAACCAAAATACAGATCCACTGTTGGCTACTCAGTGCTGGGAAGCCAGCCAATGAGTTACCCAGTTCTTGCTTCGCTCTCTACCTGATGTCTTCTGATAATTTCATGATACATTATCATCTGCATCTACGGATGATGCAGAGAAAATTAAAGAAGATGAAATGGAAATGATTTCTCTATACATGTGCATGATTAGGCCAAAACATTTAGTTTGAAAGGAAATGTCATGGGTCTACATGGGTCTTTCAGGTTATATAAATATCTCATTTGTCTGTTTACAAAGAATCAAACGAAGACCATCAGAGGCAAAAGAAAAACAAGTGAAAACTACTGAGGCTGAAGTTACTAGCTTGCCAGGCAAGGGAATACAACCAATGTTTTCCCCTTGTGGGGGGAAAGTTAGGGGTTTTTAAGGGCTACAAAGAAGTAACTGGTGATGCTATGCCGATTAAGCACTGAAAACTAGTACTCCAGATAGGAAAGAATTGGTTAAAACAATCTTTGTTGTTAACTAGGGTTAGAAAAGAGTCTTCTGTTTGGTCCAATAAAGGTCTGGCATGTGGGGTCTCTCACAGGGCAAAGTTCTTGAACATCTGTAGCTGGTTAGAACTGTTGTAGTGAAAACAAGCATTCCTTTTTGATATCTCACAAAGTGCTGTTAAGTAGAAAATTTCCTTTTACACTGCATGGCACTTTACATAAATATTTCCACACTAGGTCAGACCAACAGGTTCACAGTGATAGAGTCACACAAGTACAGTGATAGCCCCTCACCACAGACGTTGAAGGGCATGTTAAACATCACCACGTGGTTCTACGAGTCAGAGAAATGCTGCTCCCTCCTTGTCCCTATTACACATTATCTTCTTCTTTCCATCTTTGTCCCATTCACTCCCTGTGGTAACCAATCTCTTTAGTTTCTGAGGTATTCTTGCTATATTTCTTTTGCCGAAATGAGCAGTTACATGTATATTTTCTTATATCTTCTTCTTTCTTCTATGAAGAGCAGTGTGTTATAGATAACGCTTTGGGGTTTATTTTGTAGTTTTTCTATTTTGCATATTTCACTTAACAGTATGACATCATATTCATACAGCTCTTCTTCAATTCTTTTTTAGAGCTGCACAGTGCCTCATCGTGTTGATGTATGATGGCTTATTCAACCACGCCTCTGTGAATGGACATTTAGGTGTTTCCAGTGTTTTGTGATTACAAACAATACTGCAGGCCACTGCTTTGCTCTGGTGTGCCCACATGGTTCGTTGAGCTATGGCTGCCATGTTTCCTAGACTTGCTCCCCTCCCCTACCTTGGGGAGGTGAATCTCCTCTTTCTCTGTCTCTCTCTCTCAATAAACTATATTTTCCAATCTTAAAAAAAAAGAAAGAAACAGAAACAATGCTGCAATGAATAATCTTGTGCATATGTATTTCTTATCATCAGAGGTATATCTTCAAGGTAGATCCCTAGAAGTGGGATTGCTGGGTCAAAAAGTAAGCACATATGTAGTTTTGTTTTGCCAAATTTCCCTCCAGAAGGTTGCAAAAATTTGCATTCCTACCAGCAGTGTATGGGAGGCCTGTTTCCCCATAGTCTTGGCCAGCAGAATGTGCTGTCACATTATTTAATGTTTGTCAGTCTGACAGATGAGAAATGATTTCTTAGTGCAGCCCTCATTTGCATTTCTCTAATTATGAGTGAGTCTGAGCATCATTTTGCATATTTGAGGATCATTTTTATATACTGCTTTTTACTTAGTTATCTGCTCATGTCTCTTTGCCATTTTAAACTTGGACTTTTGGTCTCTGAATCTTTAAGAGTTCCCTGTATATGAGGGATATTAAGCCTTTGTGGTACACGTTGTGAGAATGCTCTTCCAGATGGTCTCTTGTCTTTTGACTTTGCTGGTGGTGATTTGAAAATTTCAAAAATGCTATGTGGTCAGATTTATCAATCTTTTATTACCTCTGGAGGCTGAGTCATAGTTAGAAAGTTATTTTCTACACAAAGGTTAAAGAAAAATCCACTCTTGGTTTCCTCTGATACTTTCATGGTTTTAGTTCTTATTTAAGTTCCTAATCCATTTAGAGTCACTCTTGTGTGGGTTATGAGATATGTATCTAATTTTACCTTCTTCTAAATGGCTATCCAGTTACCCTGCCAACATTTATTAAAAATGTAGTGATCTGAGAGGCCACGTTTATCATATAATAAATTCCATATATGTTTAGGTCTAATTTTGGACCTTATTTTCTATTTCACTGGCCTATTGTCTATTCAATCACGAGGACCCCACAATTTTAATTGTAGAGGCTTTATTGTATGCTTTAATGACTGGTAGGACTATTCCTCTCTTGTAGTTTTTCTTTTTCAGTGTTTTCTTGGCTATTCTTGAAGGTGTATTTTTCCACATAAAATTTAGTATCAACTTATCTGACTCCATAAAATAGCATGATGGTATTTTTATTAGGATTGCACTGAATATATAAATTAACTTTAGGAGAACTGACATCTTTATAATGTTGAGTTGCCCTACCCAAGAACAAGGGATGTTTTCCTATTTTTATAAGCCTACTTTGTGTCTTTCAGGAGTGTTTTAAAACTTTCCTCATATATACTTCTATTTTGTATACTTATTAAAATTATCCCTAGGCATTTAGTCTTCTTTGTTGCTACTGTAAATTGGATTTTCTCTAGCATTATCCTCTTTGTTTATTGTTTATGTATATGAAGGTTATTGATTTTTATATATTAACATTCCATTGTGCTACTTCCCTGAATTATTTGTTTCACTTAATTTTATTATTGATTCACTGGGTCTTTCTAGGTGTGCTATTATATAACCTAAAAACAGAAATAATAGCCCTTCTTTTATACACATTCTCTTGTCTCTGATTTCTCTTATTTACCTGAATGAAATGATATCTCTAATACAGTGTGGAATCATAACAGAGATAGTAGGCATTATTGCCTTGTTTCTGGGCTTAGTGGAAATGTCCCAAGGATTTCTCCATCAAATAAGACAACCACCTTTTGGACTAAAATATAACACACATACACACACACATACACACACACATAAGCATTGATCATGTTAAGAAATTATATAATTCAATTAATAATTTAAATAATATAATTGTTAAGCATTTTTGCAAATCTCTTTAATTACTTGCTTAATGGTAGACAGCTGCATTCAAACATCTGCTACAATATGTTGTTTTAGTTGAGGTATATGAAGAAAATATGGACACATATAGACATGGAAAAGGGAGAAGTTTTTTCAGAATATTGTGGGTATTCTTCTTTGGTATTTTCCCAAATCTTGACAAGTGGTAGTTTCTTAAAGACTAACTATAATATGAAATCTAAAATTATATTAATTTTTTACACTGTTATATTAAAATAGATTGGTCTAATACTTTAATGGATCTTTTGCCCATACATGATTTTATACATCATGTATTGGTCATTTGGAAAATATTAGTTCACCATATTTCATAAATCTTCTGAATATTGAAACATTATATTATACAACTTTTTAAAAAATCCACACTTGCTAATATCACCATGTATCTTTTCTTTAAAATTTTTTTTTTTAATTTTAAAGATGCGGGGTACAATTCAGGCTAGGTATACAAATGTTCATTATGCAAGTACTCTTGTTATGAGGTGTGCCCCTCCCTCACCTGGCAGTTCTCCTCAATTACCAATTGCACTCCCCCTCCCCTGGCAACTTCCCGCCCTGCCAATCCCTTTCTTATAGTATTATGATAATTGTTCAAGGTCCACTTATGAGTGAGAACATATGGTACCGTGTTCTTGGTTTCTGTGATAGATCACTGAGTATGATAGGCTCTAAATCCATCCAAGTTGCTGCAAAGTCCATATGTTTGTCCTTCTTTATGGCTGTGTAATATTCCATTGTGTATATGTACCACATTTTTTTTTATCCAGTCCAGCTTCGATGGGCAGTATGGTTGGTTCCATGTTTTTGCTATTATGAATAGAGTTGCAACAAACATGCATGTGCAGGTATCTTTATGGTAGAATTACTTGAGTCCCTCTGGGCATATTCCCAATAGAGGGATTGCCGGGTCATATGGAAGGTCAATTTCTATTTTTTTCAGAAATCGCCACACTGTCTTCAAAAGAGGTGGCACTAGTTTGTATTCCCTCCAGCAGTGCAGAAGCCATCCTTTTTCTCTGCATCCTCACCAGCATTTGTTGTTGTTTGTTTTATTAATGATGGCCATTCTTACTGGGGTTAGGTAGTATCTCAATGTGGTTTTTTTTTTTTTTTTTTTTAGTTGGAGTCTCATCGGTCGTCCAGACTGGAGTGCAGTGGCCACTCCTGGCCACCGCAGCCTCGCCTGCTGGCCTCCGGCGATCCTTCCGCCTCAGCCTTCCGAGTAGCCGGAATTACAGGCATGCGCTACCATGCTCAGCTGATTTTTTGATTTATTGTAGAGATAAGGTCTCGCTGCCCAGGCGGGTCTCGAACCCTCGAGCTCAGGCAATCCACTCACCTCAGCCTCCCAAAGGCACGGTATTACAGGCTGAGCCACCGAGCCCAGCCTCAATGTGGTTTTGATATGCATTTCTCTGATGATGAGTGAGGCTGAGCACTTTTTCATGTGTCTGTTGGCTGTCCACATATCTTCTTCTGAGAAGTGTCTATTCATGTCTTTTGCCCACTTTTTAATGCGGCTGTTTGTTTTTTTCCTTTTGGCACATTTGAGTTCCTTGTAGATCCTAGATGTTAGACCTTCGTCAGGCATACAGTTGACAAATAAATTTTCTCATTCTGTGGGCTGTCTCCCTGCTCTGCAGAAGCTTGTTAGTTTGATGAGGTACCACTTGTCTATCTTATCTCTTATGGTACAGGCACTTGGGGTTTTGATCAGGAATTGATTGCCGGTTCCAATT